TCGCCGCCTATCACCTCTAACTTGAATCCGGACTCTCGGGAGATCATGGTTGACACAAGGCATAGCGTACATTCCTTCAGGTGAGACCCATGTAACTCAAATGTCATTCTAACGTACGGTTGAGGGTATTTATTGACAAATGAAATAAACGGAACTGCGTTGAAAACAATCAGTATGGGTTGGAATGTGTGGAAGCAGAGATCGTGAACCCAGCAAAAGACTCATAAAAACTTCAATGACCATTATGTGGGTTCCCTAAATGTTAAAGCTAAGGTATACAATGTGGCAAAAGTATAGGTCTTATTGGGTTAGCTAAAATTATAGTAAAAGCGTGTTGAAAGGAAAAAACACAAGTAGTGGATAAAAATAGCTGTGAATAACATTTTATCCACAAAAAAACGCATGAAAACTGAGTTAAATGATACTATTAATATATAACTGATTTCGATTAAATAAATTGAATAATAACGTTCACTTAAAAAGAAAAGAACTCTTGGCCATGAACAATAATCTTTTATTTTTAATATAAAAAGATAATATATTCAACTTAGCTATCTATTACGAATTTTGTCCCTTAAAACAAACACGGCATAAAAAACATCAAGTACGGAGCCAAGTGTAATCCCCACACACTGGTAAAGAGCCCCAAGGTTCATTGAAAGTTCCGCCTTTTCTTTATATATTTGTTTGATCCGGTATCTTTCTTCTTCATCTGGGTTCACCAAGTTATTCAAAGCGGCAATCTCGTCTGATTTTATTTTGTCCAACACATTATGGAACACATTAACATATGATGCTCCACCCATCAGACCGACGAATATCATCCACCCAAATAGCGCAAACATCAGTTTGGATTGAGTTGCCTCATCGTCAGAGCTGATAAAAAGCATAAAGGCCTGAGCAAACCAGCCTGCAGTGTTAAAAAGCTGAATCAAGGTAATGATCCATACCTTTTGGATACGCACACAGGATAGACTGCTGCGTGAAATAAGTACACCAAA